TTGAGTCTATTATAAGTGGATTCCTAAGAATTTTCCCCTGTTAGCTTTGTGATAGGTGATCCGTTATCATTATGTTAAAGGGGGACATCTGTAGCTCTGTTACCAAACTGAATGAAGTAGGTTTTGTCAATGTTTAGTGTAAGTTTGTTAGTACTCATCCAGGTAGATATTTCTGTAATTGGGTATTTACAGTATTGGCTAGCGGACTGGGCTCGGGTGGAGAAGACGTATGTTGTGTTTAAACAGCAAATAGTGTGGGTTTGAGTAATTGCGAAGCATTTGGTAGGTCATTTTTTATAGGAGAAAGAGAAAGGGCCAAGGACACTTCCCTGTGGGAAAACCAACTGTAATTGGTTGTGCAGAAGAGTTTGCCCCATTTGCGTACACATATTGGCTTCTGTTGCTGAGGTATGACTTGAGGTAGTTGAGGGAGTGCCCTCTTATACCATAGTGTGACAATTTTACGTGGAGCAAGTCATGGTCAACTGTATCAAAAGCTTTACGTAAGTCAATGAAGATCCCCAGTGGGACTTCTTTTTTCTCTATTGCAGTGTATATATGTTCTAGCATATGTATAATAGCATCATTAGTATTTTTATTAGGCCTGAATCCAAATTGGCAGGGGTTGAGTATGTTTTGGGAGATAAGGTAGGAGTAGATTCGTTTATGAATTAATTTTTCGAAGATTTTTGCCAATATCCCAAACCCCTCCTTTAAAGTGCAGGCACAGTACTTCCCATTTCCAGGACTCAAGTCCGACTATATGAAAATAACCGGTTTCCCTGAATCCCTTCACTAAATATTACCCTGCTCACACTCCAACAGATCGTCAGGTCCCAAGTACCATTCGTCTCCATTCACTCCTATCTAACACGCTCACGCACGCTTGCTGGAAGTCCAAGCCCCTCACCCACAAAACCTCCTTTACCCCCTCTCTCCAACCCTTTCGAGGACAACCCCTACGCCGCCTTCCTTTCCCTATAGATTTATATGCTTTCCATGTCATTCTACTTTGATCCATTCTCTCTAAATGACTAAACCACCTCAACAACCCCTCTTCTGCCCTCTGACTAATACTTTTTTTAACTCCCCACCTTTTTCCCCCAAATTTTCCCCACTCCCCAATTTTCGCATAAAAATTTACACCCCACATTGCCCTTAAACAGGACATCTCTACTACCTCCAACCGTCTCCTCGCTGCTGCATTTACCACCCAAGCTTCACACCCATATGAGTGTGTTGGTACTACAATACTTTCATACATTCCCTTCTTTGCCTCCATAGATAATGTTTTTTGACTCCACATATACCTCAATGCACCACTCACCTTTTTTCCCTCATCAATTCTATGATTAACCTCATCCTTCATAAATCCATCCGCTGACACGTCAACTCCCAAGTATCTGAAAACATTCACCTCTTCCACATTCCTCCTCCCCAATTTGATATCCAATTTTTCTTTATCTAAATCATTTGATACCCTCATCACCTTACTCTTTTCTATGTTCACTTTCAACTTTCTACCTTTACACACATTCCCAAACTCCTCCATTAACCTTTGCAATTTTTCTTTAGAATCTCCCATAAGCACAGTATCATCAGCAAAAAGTAACTGTGTCAATTCCCATTTTGAATTTGATTCCCCAAAATTTAATCCCACCCCTCTCCCAAACACCCTAGCATTTACTTCCTTTACAACCCCATCTATAAATATATTAAAGAACCATGGTGACATTACACATCCCTGTCTAAGACCTACTTTTACCAGGAAGTAGTCTCCCTCTCTTCTACACACCCTAACCTGAGCCTCACTATCCTCATAAAAACTCTTTACAGCTTTTAAATAACTTACCACCTATTCCATATACTTGCAACATCTTCCACATTGCTCCTCTATCCACTATCATATGCCTTTTCTAAATCCATAAATGCAATAAAAACTTCCCTACCTTTATCTAAATACTGTTCACATATATGCTTCAATGTAAACACTTGATCTACAAAATCCCCTACCCACTCTGAAACCTCCTGCTCATCCGCAATCCTACATTCTGTCTTACCTCTAATTCTTTCAATTATAACCCTACCGTACACTTTTCCTGGTATACTCAGTAAATTTATTCCTCTAAAATTTTTACAATCTCTTTTGTCCCCTTTCCCTTTATATAAAGGGACTATACATGCTCTCTGCCAATCCATAGGTACCTTCCCCTCTTTCATACATTTATTAAACAAAAATACCAACCACTCCAACACTATCCCCCCCCCCCTGCTTTTAACATTTCTGTCATGATCCCATCAGTTCCAGCTGCTTTACCCCCTTTCATTCTACGTAATGCCTCACGTACCTCCCCCACACTTACATTCTGCTCTTCTTCACTCCTAAAAGATGGTATACCTCCCTGACCAGTGCATGAAATTACCGCCTCTCTTTCTTCCTTAACATGTATTATTATTAACATGTATGTTATTAAATACCATTGCCTCAATCACTGCCTCTACCACTCCAGTCACACTCAATCTACAAGCAGCAAACACAATGAATTATTGTGAAATGTTTGGAAGAGCAGAGAGACTAATGTTCACTCCAGCATAAACAAAGTCACACTGACGATGTGTCAACCACTCCCTCGTATTTTTGTACAATTTCCTTCTTCGATTATATCATATTTATTATTATTATTATTATTACTATTGTTATTATTAGCTGTAGCAGAAATGTTTAATTCTTTGCAGTGTTCAAGAGTAAACACAACACATGATGTCACCGTCTAATACCTGTCCGAATAGCCATTCCAATATGCAGTCATGAATGGGTTTACATTATTTATACTGTAGTTTAATAGCATATAATGAACAAACAAAACACTCACCACACTAAGTGGTGGGAGGGCTGGCTGCCAGTTGCGGGGGTCGGAGGGAGGGTAGTAGGGACTCGCAGGTGGCGGGAAACTTAAATATGATTTGGCGGCTGGGAATTTGGTGGCTGGGAATTTGGCGGTTGGGAATTCGCGAATGTGTGAAGCCCGTGAAAGTTGAAAACGTGAATGTTGAGGGAGACCTGTACTGTCATTACACCCTATATTATATCTCGTACACTTGTTTATCCTTTTTTTTTTTTTTAATATGTATTACCTATTACCAAATCTATTCCTATATAAAGTTCAATTAAAGGCCCTTCCCCATTATCATTTACCCCTGGCCCCCTAAACTTACCTACTACACCCTCTATAACTGTTTCTTCCACTTTAGCATTTAGGTCCCCATCACAAATACTCATGTGGTTTAAAACTCCCTAAACACTCACTTAACCTCTCCCAGATTCACTCACTCTCCTCTATACTCCACTCATCTCCAGGTGCATAAATACTTAGTATAACCCACCTCTTGCATCTGACCTGTATTCTAATCCAAATAATCCTTGAATTTATACATTCATATTCTCTCTTTTCCTGCCATAATTGATCATTCAACATTATCGCTACTCCTTTACCTATAACTCTCTCAGATACACCTAACCTAATACCCTTTATTTCTCCCCACTGAAATTCTCCTACTCCCTTCAGCTTTGTTTTGCTTAGAGCCTGGACATCCAACTTTTTTGATTCACATCATTCACAATCATCTTCATCTGCACTACATCAACGCACATTCAAACATCCCAACACCATAATGTTTTCCTTCTTTTTACATTTAGTAATTTATACAATAGGAGTTACCAGCCTCTTGCTCTCATCATTTCAGTCTCTTCTTACGACATGCATGGCTTACAGAGGAAGGATTTTTTTCCACTTCCTCATGGAGATGAAAGGGAATAGAACAAGAATTAAGAATATATTGAAGAAACCTCAGATGAGTGCATATATATACATGTACATGCAAGTGTAGTGTGACCCAAGTAGAAGTAGAGTTGTACCTGTTATCTTGAGTGTATTAGCCAATCACCATTGCACTAACAATTATGTATTTTTTTAATTAAATAATTATCATTACAATAAATTGTTTATCTGGTGATTGGGTAATCTGCTGCCATCATTATCCAGCAGTCATCAATCCATTACAAAGGAATATGTAAAACAAAGCATCCATAAAACAAATGTGATCATCCATTGTTATTACATTCATGGAGGGCAGCACTAAACCTGTAAGGGTCATATAGTGTCAGGAGGAAATGAGAGGCATTCAGGTTTGATGTACCTATTTAACTGAAGAGGCTAGATAATTCATGATCTACTGCATTATTATAGGATCTATTATTTTTTTTTCTCAATAAACCAGCCATATCCCATCAAGGCAGGTTGACCTAAAAAGAAAAATGAAAGTTAATCTTTTTAAATTTAGTAATGTATACAGAAAGGGTTACTAGCCCTTTGCTCCCAGCATTTTAGTTGCCTCTTACAACACACAAAGCATACGGAAGAATAATTCTGTTCCACTTCCCTATGGAGAATTATTATTATTATTATAATAAGGGAAAAAGGAAAGGTTGGAGGGAGGGGGTAAAGGAGGTTTTGTGTGTGAGGGGCTTGGACTTCCAGCAGGCATGCGTGAGCGTGTTTGATAGGAGTGAATGGACACAAATGGTTTTTAATACTTGACGTGCTGTTGGAGTGTGAGCAAAGTAACATTTATGAAGGGATTCAGGGAAACCGGCAGGCCGGACTTGAGTCCTGGAGATGGGAAGTACAGTGCCTGCACTCTGAAGGAGGGGTGTTAATGTTGCAGTTTAAAAACTGTAGTGTAAAGCACCCTTCTGGCAAGACAGTGATGGAGTGAATGATGGTGAAAGTTTTTCTTTTTCGGGCCACCCTGCCTTGGTGGGAATCGGCCAGTGTGATAATAATATAATAATGTGCATTATTCAGCACAAGGAGTGGAGGCTCAATCCTCAGTCCATTAACCAAGACAAAAAAAAAAAAAAAAAGCTACCAGAACGTGCTCTCCTATATATTTTTTGCAAGTAACATGACAAAGTAATGTAGAAGTTATGAAGTTCTGACCTTAAGACACATGGGACAAGTGTGGGAGTTGGAGTCCTTCTCGTGACCCCACTCATGCAGCCCCTGTACGTGGCCACAATTAAGGTACACTACAGGCTGCTTTTCTGTGGCCGTTAAAGTGGCTTTTCGAGGTATCACAAGTGTGTTTAGACCAACAGGACACTGTGGCCGACCTGCATTCAATTCATCCACCATCTGCTCAAGGTGTCGCTTCGACTGAAAGAAAGATTTCAGAATATGGTAAAAATAACACAATATCAAAAATGTTCAGTAATATGATGATGACAACGCCGCTGCTGCTGCTTTCTTGGTTAACACAGGTTTCTCCATCATTCATGTTGTGAAATTATCAAGATATACTAACACTATAAATACTTTAATTTACAATATTAATTAGGGTATTTACTCTCCTGTATATACAAATATTTACCTATAAAGTGTTTGTCAGTCAGTAACAATATCAAAAATGTTACCTCAGTGCCAATTACCAACACTATTATAACACTCACAATGTTATCTCAGTGCCAGGCACTAATACTAACTACAGTAAGTATCATACAATGTTTCTTCAGTGCCACCCACCAACACTGCAGCCATTAAGTTGTAGAAAGGGAGGAGAGTGGTGGTAATAATGCTCTGATAAGTCAATAATGTAGCACTTATCACACAGATTTGACTTTTCCTAGCTATATAAATAAAAATGCAATATATATAACATACCCAAGTATGTGCAAGTTAAAAATGACCCCATTGTATACATACACACACACACACACACATACACTGCATTTGAGTATGTGCTTGTGCATGCATATTTATGCCCACAACATCTACTTGACCTCAAAACCATTAAGAATATACAGTGAAACCTTGGTTTTTGTTTGCCCTGGTTTTCATCGAATTCGGTTTTTGACGACTTTTTTAGTCAAAATTTTGTCCCAATTTTCGTTCATCACATCGATTTTCGTCAGTCCACTGTACTGAACATATCCGCATTCTGAGTCAGTCTGGCTTTGTTTCTCATCGAGTGAGCATTACCCTGCCCGTTCATCCGAAACATTTCAAAATAATCCATTGTTTTTTGTGCTTGTTTACTGAGTGTGACTGCTAAATAAGCCACCATGGGCTTTGGGAAAAGTCCTTGGGGTTGGATGTGAGTGGCCAGGATATGGAAGAGTTGGTGGACGACCACAGGGAAGAGCTAACCCCTGAAGACCTGCAACACCTTCAACTGGAACAGCAACACATTGCAGCTGAGGAAGCTACCTCAGAGGAGGAAGAGAGAGGGGAGAATGTGCCTTCTTCAGTGATTAAGGACATGTGTGTAAAGTGGAGTGAGTTGCAAAGTTTTGTAGAGAAATATCACCCTAACAAAGCTGTTGCAAGCCATGTCTGCAACATGTTTAATGACAATGCCTTGTCCCATTTTAGACAAATCTTAGAGACACACCAGAAATAGACCTCTCTGGACAGATTTTTTGTGTAACAGGGATCCAGTGCCAGTAAAAGACAAAGAAGGGAAGTAGCCCTGGATAGGGACTTAAACTTAAACAACTATAGGCCAATATCAAACTTACCATTGCTATCCAAAATCTTTGAGAAACTCGTGCACAGGAGACTACAGTGGACCCCTGCATAACGATTACCTCCGAATGCAACCAATTATGTAAGTGTATTTATGTAAGTGCGTTTGTACGTGTATGTTTGGGGGTCTGAAATGGACTAATCTACTTCACAATATTCCTTATGGGAACAAATTCGGTCAGTACTGGCACCTGAACATACTTCTGGAGTGAAAAAATATCGTTAACCGGGGATCCACTGTATATTCATTTATAACAGCACAAAACATACTCAACCCCTGTCAATTTGGATTTAGGAAAAATAAAAGCACTAATGATGCAATCATAAAAATGCTAGATCTGCTTTACACAGCATTGGAAAATAAGGAATATCCACTAGGAATTTTTATTGACCCAAGAAAAGCTTTTGACACAGTAGACCACGACATCCTACTCCACAAACTTGACCATTACGGTATAAGAGGCCATACGCTTGCTTATTTCAAATCTTACCTTACTAATAGGTATCAGTATGTTACCATTAAAGACACAGCATCAACAACACGGCCACTTGATGCTGGAGTTCCGCAGGGAAGTGTCCTTGGTCCCCTGCTCTTCCTCATATACATCAATGATCTTCCAAACGTATCCCAACACCTGAAACCCATTCTCTTTGCTGACGATACGACTTATGTCATCTCTCACCCTAATCTTGCCATCCTCAACACCATTGTTAACGAGGAGCTGATCAAAATATCGACTTGGATGACAGCCAATAAACTTACACTTAACACTGACAAAACCTACTATATTATGTTTGGTAGCAGAGCAGGAGATGCACAAATTAACATTAAGATCAACAACACTCTAATTACTAGACATAATGAGGGCAAATTCCTAGGCCTATACCTTGACAACAACCTGAATTTCAGCACCCATATCCAACACATAACCAAAAAAGTATCCAAAACAGTTGGGATCCTCTCCAAGATACGATACTACGTGCCGCAAAATGCCCTTCTCACACTATACCACTCACTTATTTATCCATACCTCACCTATGCTATTTGTGCTTGGGGATCAACTGCAGCAACACACCTAAAGCCAATAATAACCCAACAAAAAGCTGCAGTAAGAATAATCACTAAATCCCATCCCTGGCAACACACCCCTCCCTTTCTTCATAGATCTAAACTTACTCCCTGTTCAGTACATCCACACTTACTACTGTGCAATCTACATCTACAGGACCTTAAACTCCAATATCAACCTTGACCTAAAACACTTTCTTGATAGTTGTGACAGAACCCACAGGCATAACACCAGACACAAACATCTCTACGACATTCCCCATGTCCGACTAAACCTTTACAAAAATTCAATGTATGTCAAAGGCCCTAAAATCTGGAACACCCTACCTGAAAACTCTAGAACTGCAGACACATTCATCACCTTCAAAACTACCATTAGAAAACATCTTATCTCCCTGATAAACCCCATCAACTAACTACACAAATACCACCTGGTGGTTCACACTTACACTCACTCACCCATTTGACCATAAACAGAAATATTAATCTCAATCTTAAAATAATGAATCCTATGATACTCCAATACTGAAACTATGTACTGTGCCAAAACAAAAGCATTCACATTGCTAAACTCACAAACTAGTATTTAGTCACTTAGCCATAATACCAACTTACCTCATAATTTGTAATATTTTAAAATAAAGAATTAAACCAAGTCTGCCCGAAATGCCTAGCCATGCTAGGCGTTCTAGTGGTACACTCTGTAATTAACTACATGTAAACCACACAACAACCAAATTCTGTAAATTCAACATTGTAATATTTATAGAGAATAAACTTTGAATTTGAATACCTGAAGTCCTTATGGAGGGGGATTCCCCTTCCAACCAATAACCTCTTCTCCTCCCTCTCCACTCCTTGCATCTTCTATATGCCAACAAGAGTTTTCAATAAAGGTAAAAATGATATTAACCCTTTCAGGGTTTCGGCCGTACTAGTACTGCTTACGACCCAGGGTCCATGACGTACTAGTACGCCTAAATTTTAGCGCCCTCAAATCTAGTGAGAGAAAGCTGGTAGGCCTACATATGAAAGAATGGGTCTATGTGGTCAGTGTGTGCGGTATAAAAAAAAATCCTGCAGCACACAGTGCGTAATGAGAAAAAAAAACTTTGACCATGTTTTTGGATTAAAACAGCGACTTTGCACTGTATTTTTGTATGGTATTTATTGTTGTATTCTAGTTTTCCTGGTCTCATTTTATAGAATGGAAGACATATTACAGAAATTGAGATGATTTTGACTGGTTTTACAATGAAAAGTACCTTGAAATTGAGCTCAAAGTAGCAAAAATCTTTAATTTTTACCAAAGTTCAAAAGTAAACAAATCATGCTATGCGTCCAATACACGTCAACTGGCGAGTCTAGTATTCTTTCACAAGTGCGCTGATAATATTTATACCATTTCTACACCAATGCAGTAGTCTGCATAACAGTAAATCTTCTATTTTTTTTGTGAGAATAAAAATTCAAAGTGGAAAGCAAAAGAATGTAAGAGGGGCATGGGGACGTGACTAATGAACAGAGGAAATGTTATTTTTAGTGCCAGGAATGTCTTTCTTGTTTATTCTTTACCCTATTTGGAAATTGTCATCTTTTGAAATTTGTGTGAAATTGGCAAAATTGCTAAATTCTGACCACTGCATTGGATAGTTGAAATCGGTAAATGGGTGGTTTCTCGAACTCATTCAATAGAAAAAATGGAGTTCTAGCGAAATAGTTATGATTTTTGTCGACAAGTACACTGGAATTGGCCGAAAATAGAGCTCAAAGTGGGCAAAATCATCAATGCGTAAACATCGTCGAGATCGCTAACTTCGAGAGAGCATAATTCCGCAAGTTTTCCATCAAATTTCATACTTTTGGTGTCATTATGATCCAGAAAAGATTCTCTATCTTCACTTAAGACAAAATATATTTTTTTTTTTTTTTTGAAATTTGGCCGACCCTGAGAACAAGTCTCTGAGAGGGCCTGTTGACCCTGAAAGGGTTAAATGTTCATTTATCCATTTCATTAGTCCTTTATATTTATTTCTCATTGTTTTCTGTATGTAAAACTATAGTTATTCCCTATAAAATGTATCTTTTCTTAATACTTTTGGGTCTCGAACAGATTAATTGGATTTATGTAAATTGTTTCTTATAGGAAACGTTGCTCCAGTTTTTGTCAAATTCGGTTTCGTCAGACTTTCTGGAACAAATTAATGACGAAAACAGAGGTTCCACTGTACCGTATATTACTGTTTGTAAAATTTTCTTGTAAATTTTCCTAAACAAATCATATTTTACTTAAGCTATACTACATCCTAGTGAAATAAACTATTTGTAGACTAATAATTTTGAACAGATGCATAATCTAAAGATTTATATATAATTTTTTTCAACATGTTGGCAGTCTCCCACATTATTAAGAAGTGTCTTCTTTGTCAGCACTCAAAAATACTGGAATGTCTGATGTTACATTTTTTTTAACACAATGGCTGTCTCCCACCAAGGTAGGGCAACTCAAAAAAGAAACTTTCATCTTCATTCACTCTTTTACTGTCTTGTCCAAGTGTAGGCACTGTACTTCCCACCTCCAAGACTCAAGTCCAGCTAACCAGTTTCCCTGAATCCTGACTTAAACACACACACTTACACTCACACACTTACACTCACACACTTACACTCACACACTTACACTTACACTTACACTCACACACTTACACTTACACTTACACTTACACACACACACACACACACACACACACACACACACACACACACACACACACACACACACACTCAGGTGAGCATGTACATGCACACATGCTGAATGTCCAAGTCCCTCACACACAAAAACCTCATCCTTCCAACCTTTCCTAGGATGACCCCATACCCTGCCTTCCTTCCACTACTGATTTATACACCCTCCAAGTCATCTTATTTTGTTCCATCCTCTAGATGTCCAAACCACCTCAACAGCTCCTCAGCCCTCGAGATAATACATTTAGTAACCCCTGACACTTAGTAAAGCTATTTTTTTTTTTATTAACACATCAGCCATTTCCCACCAAGGCAGGGTGGCCCAGAAAAGAAAAACTCTTATCATTCACTCCATTACTGTCTTGCCAGAGGAATGCTTACACTACAGTTCTAAAACTGCAACATTAACACCCCTCCTTCAGAGTGCTGGCACTGTACTTCCCATCTGCATACTTATTCTACACTTTACACTCAGACATGACATCACTACCTCCAGCTTCCTCCTCACTGCAACATTCAGAACCCATGCTGCACACATATACAGTTGGGCCCCATTTATATGGCAGGTTAGGTTCCAGGTTACCGTCAGAAAGCAGAACAACATTTTTTCACTTATAAATGCATATAAATGCCAGATAACAAGTTTACACTAACAAATATTAAGTTAGCAATAGAACTTGGCATTAAAAAAAAATGAAAAGTAAAATACACACACACAGTACACTCATTATTTACCTCAAAATATCTGTAGTCTTAATATAGGGCAAAAGGTGAGTAGTATTCACTGTAAGAAATCAGGTGTGGTAGCCCTCCTGGCCACCCCACCCACACATAATATACTACGATGACAATTAAAGCTCTCTAGAGTGATGAAATGCATATGCAGTACACTCATTACTTACCTTAAAATATTTGTAGTCTTAATGTAGGGTGAGAGGTAAAAAGTATTTATTTGTAGAAGGTTGTGTGGGAGGTAGAGTAGGGTAGCCCGTCTGGCCACCCCACCATGTAAACATATGGATGAAGCATCTGGTTATGGTTCATAAACATTCATACAAACACCTTATATTGTGTACAAGTTATCTCCACAGTGGTACAGTAGAATAAATAAAGACCAACACTTCCATTCTCATGTAATTTTTAGAAGGAATGATGCTCTGACAAATTATTATTATTACAAATTATTATTATTAGAAGTTATTATTATTATAGAGCAAAAGCATACAAAAGTAATAAATTTCTAGTTAAGTTACTGGGGTTTGGCTAGAGAAAACGTAATTCTTCCAACCCTCCAACCAACTGTTTGGTAAACAAATCTTATATTCATGTCAATTTTTATACTGTGGGTGTATGTATCATGTTTATATGTCACATAGCGTATTTATTATATAATTTTGAGAAAATATCATAGATGGATTAATAAAAATGTCTATATGACACAATGCACCCAAGAGATTATACATATCATTATTAACATGGCATCAAGAGTTGAGAGAGACTCAGTGACATTAATATGCACCTGCATGCCAGCACAGTGTGTAAGTATATTTAGGTACAGGTACACATGTATAATTATCTGAGTACATATAAAATATTCTCCATGGGGAAGTGGAACAGAATTCTTCCTCCGTATGCCATGCGTGTTGTAAGAGGCGACTAAAATGCCGGGAGCAAGGGGCTAGTAACCCCTTCTCCCGTATAAATTACTAAATTTAAAAAGAGAAGCTTTTGTTTTCTTTTTGGGCCACCCTGCCTCGGTGGGATACGGCAGGTTTGTTGAAAGAAAAGACATATAAAATATGTAATAACTTTTAAACGCTTGAAATTTTGGAAAATTTCCAGACATAATAGGGATATGTGCTCACGGAGAATGTAAGCAAACTGGGTGGGGTTCACCATATTTGAAAGACCGCTCGCCATATAGCAAATTTTGGTCATAATTTGAAATCGCTGTATAAATGGAATGCCATAAGGCATATAAGCATTGGTACTTTTATATTCTCATACATTCTCCTTTTTGCCTCCATGGATAATGTTTCGTCTCCACAGATACCTCAGTGCACCACTCACCATCCCTTCCCCCCTTCATCAATTCCATAGACCTATTTGCCAACTAGTCTACCCTCCCTGCTCCCCCAATATTTGAATACATTCATTTCCTCCATACTCCCTCCTTCCAATCTGATATCTAATCTTTCATAACCTCTATCATTTGTTACTCTCATCACTTCTTCCCTATGTTCACTTTCAACTTCCTTCTTTTACATACCCTCCCAAATTCATCCTCAAAACTTCTTTTCAGAATCTCCCAAAGGCACAGTATCATCAGCAAAAATCAACTGTGTGCAACTGTTGAGAGTGGATAACTGTCTTGGCTCACTGATTCGGAACTAAAGTAGTTTATTTTATTTGGTCTCAATGCTCTGTGCTCAGTTATAATCATTAATATTTCACTTTCTCCATTATTTCTAAGATACATTAAACTGAATGGTACACAACAGAAAACTTTTTCTCCTCTGAATCAACTATTTTATAAATGCCTAATATTTTATCTTTCACAATTTATTCACATTTTACAAGTTTAAAAAGAATGTTTGCATAAGATTATTAAAGGTGCACCGCATGTTTGCTCTTGTAGTTTATGAAGACATTCAGACAACACTTGTGAAACAAGTGAACATATTTGAAATAATGTTCAACTCACTGGAGATCTGCCCAGTCCCTCTGCCGACCTCCATAGTAAAGTTGCTCCACACAAGTCTATCAGTGTCCCATCTTGAAGAACATTAGTTTCCTCTTCAATCTGTTGAAAAACAGATCACATTTAGAAAAAAAAAAAAAACAGAATACGTACACTGACAAATCAACTACAGTAACCTGAATGTTACAGAGCCATGATTTATGTTCCTAAAAAGCCATTAACTCTGTATTTAATACTATGATAACTACCAAATTCTCCATGGGGAAGTGGAACAGAATTCTTCCTCTGTAAGCCATGCATGTCGTAAGAGGTGACTAAAATGCCGGGAGCAAAAGGCTAGTACATAACCCCTTCTGTATATATTACTAAAGTTAAAAAGAGAAACTTTCTTTTTTCTTTTTGGGCCACCCTGCTTTGGTGGGACACAGCCGGTTTGTTGAAAGAATAACAACTACCAAGTTGTACTGAGATTTACATCAAAGATATTGAATGGTAGAGCACCATTATTTCATAAACATTATAATGCTATACCATAATATGGATAAACAAGTATAGTAAGTCTGATAAAACGGACCCCCATAAAGTGGATGTCCAATAAAACAAACAGAAAATGTTGCCTGACAAAGGTTCAACACGTATACTTAATGGGATGTCCGATTAAAATGGCCACAAAGTGGACCAAATCTGCAAAATCAAACGGCTGGAGTTTTATGACTCGCTCGCCACAAGTTCAATCTTCATCCGTGGTATGGTTTGGCTGTCCAGTCCAGTCAAATGCTCACTAAAATGGACCAGTTCCACTTAATTCTAAGTTTGTATGGTCGAGACTTCATCCAGGATCTGTCCATTTTCATTGTGGTGGTAGAGAAGCCTCTCCAGTCCAACCAGAAATTATGTTGCCAGAGACAAATAATTGTTGACAAGAAGCACAGATAGGGCAAGGAAGAGCAAGCAGGCAGCCAGCCAGTTAGCCAGTTAGCCAGGCAGTCAGGAAGCCAGTCATGAACCAAGCCAGCCAACTAGACTTAATATTACATTCTTCTTGTCACAAGTCTCCTGGGTCTAGTACAGTACATGCATAGTCTGTCTATCATCTGTGTTTAGTACACCTGCCTAGTATAGTATGTCTACCTTCCACCCATCCCTCCTCTTCAGTCCCAGTGCACCCTCCACCATCACTCCATTTACAATAAGCAAGCAGGCAGACTTTCAATATTTCCATTAAGAGAAAGAAAGAGAGCATAAATGAAAGAAAAAGCAACTACACTGGCTGTACCCTTCTCCAGAACATCACTTCTCCAAGATCATTTATTCCTAGGATGACAGAGTCTGAAACATGTTCATACAGCATAATGACATCAATGAAATAAAGTCAGTTGACCAAATGAAATCGTTGGCCCACTGCTGAGTCTAACTTCACCCTGTTCATTATCTTTATATCTTGTAACAACAAAGAACTGTAAAATAAACTGATGTAGGGAACAGTTCTTAATCTGTAAATAAAGTTAACAACATTTAACCTAACATTGTAAAACCCTAATGTGAAAAAAGAGGGTATAGAGAGAAAAAAAAGAGAAAAGAGAGGAGAGAGAAGAGAGAAAAGAGAGAGGGAAAAGAGAGAAGAAAGAAGAGAAAGCAGAGAAAGGAGAGAGAAAAGAGAAGAGGAGGGATCCTACCACCTATAAGAGGAACTTGCACAGGCAAGCCTATAGGCATATGGGTGGCATTCAAAAGTGGGTCATCGCTAAATGGGAGATGGACATAAAAAAAAAAAGCTAGCATCAGGTAGGGTAGGCTCCAAAACCTGTGGTCCCTGGTCAAGGACAGATAAGGTTATCTGCATGATGAACTCATTCCACCTCTAAATCGACAGGATGGGACCACCTCTACTAGTAGTCGAGAGAAAGCGGACCTCTTTGCCAAACACTTTGTTACCAAAATGTAAGTTCCTGATCCAGCAAGGGACCCTCCTTGGCTAACTGCAAGAACTGTGTCAAAACTGTCAGTGGTGACAATAAGGCAGGAAGAGGTGCATTTCCTTCTTAAATCACTTGACCAAGAAAAGGCTGTGAGCCCAGACAAGTTTGAGCCCAAGATTGCTGAGATGTGCAGACCAGCTAGCAGCACCTCTAACTCACATCTTTCAGCACTGCCTAGTACAGTGTAAATGGCCTTCTCTGTGGAAAGAGGCAAATGTAGTCCCTGTTCACAAAAAAAAGAGCAGAGCAGAAATCAGCAACTACAGATCAGTGTCACTCCTGTTAATCACTGGCAAGCTCCTTGAGACAATAATCTCAAGACAAATGAGAGAGTTTTTTGACTACCACTCACTACTTTGTGATCGTCAATATGGCTTCAGGAAAGGTTACTCTCTTGCTGATCTGTTGTTAAACCTCTCCACTAAGTGGCACCAGTCACTGGATGAATCCAAAGTCAGCTGTGTGGTAGCACTGGACATTGCTGGCGCTTTCGACCGGGTGTGGCACCAGGGCCTCTTAGCAAAACTTCAAGCACTGGGAATTGCAGGCTCTACGCTATGTCTCCTCAGTGATTACCTTCATGGTAGATCTCTAAGTGTAGTCCTCAATGGAACGGAATCAGCAAGGCATCCTATTGGAGCAAGCGTTCCACAAGGAAGCGTGCTGGGTCCACTGTTATGGAATGTCTACTTCAACGACCTTCTTCATCTCATCCCAGAATCACATGCATATGCAGACGACTGTACAATGACATTCACTTATCCAAGAGAAGAAATGCCAGCTGCTCTAAGCTACATAAATCACCAGCTGAGAGCTATATCAGCTTGGGGAAATAGATGGCAAGTAACATTTGCACCTGAGAAAACGCAAATGATGATCGTCTCTAGGCACCATGATGGTAATGCTGGTGCAGTAGTAAGGATGAATGGGACGATGTTGGCACCTGGAGAAGAAGTTGATATCCTTGGGGTGAAATTTGACTCCAAACTAACCATGAAGAACCATGTTGTAAATCTTGCAAACAAGACAGCCAGGAAGCTTACAGCACTTCGCCGTATCTCGCATCTGCTTGACAGTAGGGGTTGCAAGATCCTGTACGAGGCACAAGTACGCTCACACCTTGAGTATGCTCCACTTTCTTGGTTTGCCTGCCCCCCCTCTCATCTGCGACTGCTTGACAGAATAGAGAACAGAGCAAGACGTCTCATCTCTCTCATGGCCTTACTGTTATGTACAAGGCCAATATTGTCAAAATACCACACTTGGATCCACTTCGAGGACAGCGTGAAACAAGCTTTTATGCCACAAGATGGGCAGAAAGCAGCAACTTCACTCTGGCTGTACCCTTCTCCAGAACATCACTCCATCTGAGATCATACATACCCAGGATGACTCGAGTATGGAACACATTCGTACACCATAATGATGTCAACGAGATAAAGTCAGTTGATCAAATGAAAATGCTGGCCCACAGATGGCTCCAACTTCATCCTGTTCTGTACTTGTATGTCTCATAACAATAAAAATGCTTTCAAATGAGCTGATGTAGGTAACAGCTCTTAGCTTGCCAATAAAGTTAGGAATCCTTAACCTGTAATATAGCTGTCAATAAAGCTAGGGATCCTTAACCTTGTCAAACCCTGTGTAAAAAAAAAAAAAAAAAAAAAAAAAAAAAGAGAAAGAGAGAGAAAGAGAGAGGAAAGAGAGAGGAGAGAGAGGAGAGAGAGAGAGATAGAAGAGAGAGAGAGAGAGAGAGAAGAGAGAGGAGAGAGAGAAAAAAGAAAAGAGAGAGAGAGAGAGAGAGAGTGGGGGGGAGGGTAAAGTATGTTTGTATTAGAAATCAATAAAACAGTGTTTCATTGATGGCACTAAGTGTTTTATTTGATGTTTGTCCATCTTAATTGAAATGTTCAAGTAAATGGAACTTAGTAAATCAGGCACCCTGTCCTCCTTATTAGTCCATTTTTATCAGACTTTTACTGCATACCAATAAAAATTTATAAAGTATATACATGTAATAATAGTATATAATAAGTAGTAGGTTGGTAGACAGCAGCCACCCAGGGAGGTACTACCGTAATGCTAAGTGAATGTAAAACGAAAGCCTGTACAGTGGACCCCCGGTTTGCGATATTAATCCGTTCCTGAGAGCTCATCGTAAACCAAAATTATCGAAAAGCGAATCAATTTTCCCCATAAGAAATAATGGAAATCTATGAAAAAAAAATTTTACCACATGAAATATTAAGTTTAATGAACACAAACTGAAGAAGACATGCACAGTTTGTAGTACTCTACTAACAATAGAATACATGACACTTACCTTTAATGAAGATCTGGTGATGATTGATGGGACGGGAGGAGGGGAGTGTCAAAGTTGTTAATGTTTAGAAGGGGAATCCCCTTCCATTAGGACTTGAGGTAGCAAGTCCTTTTCTGGGGTTACTTCCCTTCTTCTTTTAATGCCACTAGGACCAGGTTGAGAGTCACTGGACTTCTGTCACACAACATATCTGTCCATAGAGACCTGTACCTCTCATTCCTGTTTGACTTTCCTAAAGTGGTTCACAACATTGTTATTGTACAGGTTGCCAACACGGCTTGCAGTAGCTGTGCGAGGGTGATTTTCATCAAAAAAGGTTTGCACTTCAAGCCACTTTGCACACATTTCTTTAATCTTTGAAGTAGGCAACTTCTTCAATTTCTCTATCCTCTCCTCCGAAGCAGTTTCCTCAGATCTGGCCTCTTGCTGTTGAAGATGATCTAGCAGCTCATCAGTGGTTAGTTTGTCATTGTCCTCTTCTACCAACTCTTCCACATCCTCCCCACTAACCTCCAACCCTAAGGACTTCCCCAATGCCACAATGGATTCCTCAACTGGCATAGGATTCCCAGGGTTAGCCTCAAACCCACAGTTTCTTCCAAGACGAGTTCAAGGTCCTCTTAGTTACTCCCTCCCAAACCTTACCTATAAGGTTTACACAATTGAGGATATTAAAGTGATCCTTCCAAAACTCTTTTAGAGTCAATCGAGTGTCTGTGGTCACTTCAAAGCACCTTTCAAACATAGCTTTTGTGTACAGTTTCTTGAAGTTGGAAATGACCTGCTGGTCCATGGGCTGC